CGGAAAGGTTTAAACTAGAGGTGGAGCAGTGGGAACCAGAGCAATAAGTCGTCAAGTAAAATGACTGAGAAGGAGCTAGAGACAAAGGCCAGTAAGGCTGAGAGGAAGAACAGATAGGGAGAAGTTACTGAACATGGCAGACTAGTGGTCTGAAGTGTATTTGTTTTAACATGAGTTTAGAGCTTGGATTAGTACAAAGGACTATCGTATTGTAGCTATTACAGAAACTTAGTTGAGAGAGGCACAGTATTAGTAACAACATTCCAGGATTAAGATATTTCAGGTGTGATAGAAAGGGATGTAGAAGAAGTGGGGGAGAGTTGCATTACTAATAACAGCTGTACTGAGGGAAGACATCTTGGACAGCTCCTCCAGTGAGGCTATATGGCTAGACCTCATGAACAGTAGGAGTGCAGTCACTTGGGATACAATCCCAACAGGCCTTCAACAGCCAATGAAAGATAGAGGAACAGATGTGTGGACAGATTATGGAAAAATGTAAAATCAACAGGATTATTTGGATCCATAGTTTTAACTTCCCTTATGTTAACTGGGACTCACTTAGTTCCAAGGGCTTGGATGGGGCGGAATTTGTGAGGTGCATCCGGGAGGGTTTATAGAAGCAATATGTAAATAGCCCTAGCCCATTTAGGGAAGGGGCCATACTAGACCAGGTATTGGGGAATGAGCTAGGACAGGGGATTGAAGTTTCAGTGGGGGGACATTATGGGATCAGTGATCATAATTTCATAAGTTTTAAGTTACTTGTGGATAAGGATAAGTGTAGTCCTTGGGTGAAAATACTAAAATTAGGGGAAGGCTAACCATGACAATATCAGGCAGGGAATGTAGATTGGGGGTGGCTATTTGAGGGTAAATGTACATCTGGCATGTGGGAATCTTTTGAAGGCCAGTTGATTAGAATTCAGGACCAGTATGTTCCTTTGAAAATGAAGGATAAGTGTGGCAAGATTTGGGAACCTTGGATGAGAAGAGAAATTGTGAGCTTCGTCCAAAAAGAAAATTGAACTATGCCTAAGATTTAGGAAACTGAAGACAGAGAGAGCCCTTGAAGAATATAAAGAGAACAGGAAAAAATTTCAACAAGGAGTTAGGGCAAAAGGTGCTGTGAAGAGACCTTGGTAAACAGGAGTAAAGACAATCCGAAGACATTTTGTATATCTATTAGGAGCAAGAGGGCAGCTAAGGTAAGGGTAGGTCCACTGCAGGGCAAAGGAGGGAATTTATGCATCGAAATAGAGGACGTGGGTAGGTCCTTGACAAATACTTTGCTATAGTATTCAGAAAGTAGAAGGACGTGCTCGATGGTGTGTCTAGAGAGGAATATGTTGATATTGTCAATTTTATTAAATTTAAGAAAGTTTAGAAAGGCATTAAAGTAGACAAGTCCCCAGGACCTGATGGGATCTAACTCGGAATGTTGAGGGAGGCGAGGCAGGAAATTACAGGAGCTTTAAATGAAATCTTTGTGTCATAGAGTCATAGAGCTGTACAGCATGGAAACAGCCTCTTTGGTCCGCCTCGTCCGTGCCGACCAGATATCCCAAATTAATCTGTTCTCATTTGCCAACATTTGGCCCATATCCCCAAAACCTTTCATATACCTGTCCAGATGTCTTTTAAATGTTGTAATTGTACCAGGCTTCACCACGTCCTCTGGCAGCTCATTCCATTCACACACCACCCTCTGCATGAAAAAGTTGCCCTTGGGTCCTTTTTAAATCTTTTCCCTCTCACCTTAAACCCATGTCTTCTAGTTTTGGACCTCCCTACTCTGGGGAAAAATGCCTTGGCTATTCACCCTGTCCACGTTGCTCATGATTTTATAAATCTTTATAAGGTCACCCCTCAGCCTCTGATGCTCCAGGGAAAATAGCCCCAGCCTGTTCAGCCTCTCCCTGTATCTCAAATCCTCCAACCCTGGCAACATCCTTGTAAATCTTTGCTGAGCCCTTTCAAGTTTCACAATATCTTTCCTATAGCAGGGAGACCAGAATTGAATGCAGCATTCCAAAAGTGGCGTCACCAATGTTCTGTACAGCCACAACATGACCTCCCACCTCAATGCAAAGACCAATAAGGGCAAGCATATCAAACGCTGCCTTCACCACCCTTTAGTCATCGGAGAGGTTCCAAAGCACTGCATACTAAACATTTTCAAAGCAACATACTGGTCCTGAACTCTAATCAACTGGCCTTTTAAAGATTCCCACGTGTCAGATGGGGATTTACCCTCCAACAGCCACCCCCAGTCTACTTCCCTGCCTGTTACTGTTCCTTTGTTTAAGAAGGGTAATAGGGATTATCCGGGAAATTCCAGACATGGTGATCTAGTGAGATGGATACAAAATTGGCTTAGTCCTGATGGAAGGTTTTTCTGACTGGAGATCTGTGACCAGCGGTGTTCTGTAGGGATCAGTGCTGGGACTGTTGTTTGTTTTAATATATAAATGATTTGGAGGAGAATGTCGGTGGTCTGATTAGTAAGTTTGCAGACAACACCAAGATTGGGTGAGCTCCGGATAAAGAAGTGGATTGCCGGTAGATACAGCAGGATGTAGAAGGCTTGGTGACTTGGGTGGAGAAATGACAGGTGGAATTTAATCCAGACAAATATGAGGTTATGCATTTTGGAAGATCTAATGCAGGAGAGAAGTGAACAGTAAATGGCAGATCCCTTAGAAGCATTAATATACAGGAGGATCTAGGTGTATAGACCCACAGTTCACTGAATTTGGCAACAAGTGTGGCTGTGGTGGTCATGACATATGACATGCTTGTCTTAATCTGTCAGAGCACAGTGTATAAAAAATGACAAGTCATGTTGCAGCTGTATTGAACTTTAGTTAGGCCACTTTGGAGTATTGCAAAACGTTCTAGTTGCCAAACTACCAGAAGGATGTTGGAGGCTTTAGAGAGGGTATGAAAAAGATTTACCAGGATGTTGCCTGTGTGGAGCATATTAGCTGTGAGGAGAATTGCACAAACTTAGTGTGTTTCTACTTGAACATCGAAGGATGAGGGGCGACCTGATAGAAGTTGATGAAATCATGAGAGGCGTGAATAGTTGGAGATAGCTGCATATCCCGCATGTTTTAACCCACTGCCTTTTATCTGTAGTTAATGCAATAATGACTGTCAGAGTGGGGCTCCTGAACCATTCTAGGTGCTGGCTCATGTTCGTGGTTTGGCTATTTAGTTATCTGCCATGAAAAAAAGGGACTGGCAATTTGTGTTTCTAAAAACATTGAGAATGCATCTTTTTTAAAGTGGAACAGTGTGGCTTCCAAGTAGGACTGGTGCAACAATGTGAAAGGCTGTCATTTTTCCATGTATGATCTTTTACGTGGTCCTGATTTATAAGCATTTATGTAGAAGAGTTCTTTTTTGTTTTTTTTTGTAGCTAACCATGTCAAGGTGTTTTGCTGGTTTGTAATTAGGCATTGGTTGACACTGAGACAAAGGAGATGTTAGTAGCTAAAATCTTAGTCAAAGAGGAGGAGCGAGAAGTGGAGGCGACGATCTAGTGGTGCTATTATTGGACTGTTGATGGAAAGACCCAAGAAATGTTCTTTGGGACCTGGGTTCAAATCTTGCCATGGCAGATGGTGGAATTTGAATTCAATAAATATCTGGAATTAAGAGTTTAATGATGACTAGAATCTGTTGTTGATTGGGAAAAACCCATCTGGTTCACTAATGTCCTTTAGGGAGGGAAGCTGCCATCCTCACCTGACCTGGCTTATATGTGATTCTAGACCCACAGAAGTGTTGTTGACGCTTAACTGCCCTCTGGGCAATTAGGAACGGATAATAAATGCTTGCCCAGCCCATGATGCCCACACCCCATGAATGAGAAAGTAAAAAGTAAATTCCAAAGCTGAGTGACAAAACAGCTTGAAAATAGGATAGTTGAGTGAAGGAAATAGAGAGTGTTTAAGATATAAAATTTTAACGCAGACATCTTACTAGGTTGCAGTGTTCAAAGTAGTTCTGGAAATGGAAATGGAGAGGGTCATTTGAGTTTTGAATCTGAGAATTTTTAACATTGGCTCCCAGTGCACAATTGCATTTTGGAAGTGAGCGCTAGTCTGTATGAGAGTTAGGTTGCAGGTTGCAGCCTTTTTGGTCATTTCAGGTTTTATGCAGCTCTTAAGCTGGGAGGCTGAGCAGGCAAGTATTGGATTAATCTAATCTAGAGGAAGCACAAGAATGGGAAGATTCAATCAGATGGTGTGATGATGTAGAATTGCAAATTCTCTCCCAAGACGCACACTGCTGGCTTAAAACATAGATTTGGAACTCTGTTATCAATCCTTCATTGTCGTGGGGTCAAGGTCCTGGAGCTTCCTTCCTCGCAGCATTGTGGATGCCCCTACATCCCAAGGACTGCAGGAGTTTAAGGCAGCAGCTCATTATGACTTGCTCAAGGGTAGTTCGGAATGGACAATAAATGCTGGCCTCAACAGCAAAATCCACATTCCATGAAGAAATAAAAGAAATGATGATCTTTATTATGGAGGTAATGTGGGACAGAACTCTCAGCTGGGTCACATAAGATGCCAAGGTTGTGAAGTTTGGTATGGGTTGAGACAGTGGCCATAGAATGGGCTGGCCTGAAATACTTTGATCTTGGTGTTTTAATTTAAAATGATGAGTCTTTTTGTTTGGAGGAAATGTACAGTTTCTGTGGAAAATATTCTATAAATATAAATTGGTAAAGAAAACATTTTAAAATACTGATCAGGTATTTGCCAATAAGTTTCTATATTTGCAGATAGTTCAAGATGAAGGTGGTTTGAATAGCAATATATGTTGATCTCTGACAGTAAACCTAAATGGATTGACTTTTTTTTGTCATTACTGAACCAAGTGAACAGAACTGCTGAATATTAAAAAACAATACAGGAATTAACTAAAATTAGCAGCATTATACACTGTATATTGTTATATTAGTAATTTACCAACATGTTGTGACATTTTGTTTTATGCTTTATTTTATTAAAATATTTGCTCATTGAGGAGAGACTCCCATCTGGCAACAGCTTCATATGTTCTTTATGGCATAGTTGTAATTTTGAATACAAAATACTAACCCAACGTCCCAAGGAAGGTGGGTTAAAAAGATTCATTCTTGACTATTTTACTAGCTTTTGGTTTTCTTCAGTAGCAGTGCATTCTGAATATTGGGTAACATTTCACTCTGATCAGTGATGACCATTTCCAGCTGCTTGTTGAACTCCTTATCATTGTGGATGGCTGGCTGCATGTGGCTTGTGATATTGTAGGTCGCCATCTTTTCTCATTGCCAACCTTTTTTTAGGATTTGAGTGGTTCTATATAGCTGCTATAGGTCTGGTGTAAACGGTTCTCATTTGCACAAGGTTCTGAACGTGGTCAGCAGGTAACAGCGATCCAGCCTGTAATGGAAATGACTCGGCCTGGGTGCTATGATGTGATTTTAATTTCTAAATATTGGAACATTGCTGAGATAAATCCTGATATGTCAAATTTACACAAAATAGCATTGAATATACTTAAGTATTTTACAGATTCCTTGAAGTGTTCATTTGACCAGTGAGTTTGTTGGATTTTAAAGCGAAGATGGCAGTTTCTGTATAATTGTTTGGTAGTCTCTTCAGTATTTCACTCATGATCACCAGTCCAGATCTGTATGTTAGTGGTATTACTAAGTAGCTGGAGTGAGATACTGGATCAAAGATGCTGGTTAACACCGTTCTTGGTTTGAAGATCTATTTGAATGTTGCGTTTACGTGATTGTTTTATAGTTTAATTATCAGCTAATTTAACAGCTACTTGGACAATTAGAAATTGAGGGGAGAAAAACCACAGATTTTATAAAGACGATAAGGGAACAAGGAAATCTCATTAAAACTTTGGTTAGGCTGCAAGTAGAATACTGTGCAGTTCTAGTCACGTCACTCTCGGAAGAAAGTGATTGTACTGGAGAGGGTGCAGGGGAGATTCACCAGGGTGTTGCCTGGGATAAAGTTTCAGTTATAAGGAGAGACTGAATAAAGTTATTGTCATAGAGTCATATGGTCTGCAAAAGCAGACCGTTTGGTCCAACCAGTCCATGCTGACCATAATCCCAAAATAAACTAGTCCGACCGGCTTGTGCTTGGCCCATGTAGCTCCAAACATTTATTACTCACGTACTTGTCTAAATATCTTTTAAATTTTGTAACTGTACCCGCATCCACAACTTGTTCTAGAAGTTCATTTCACACACAAACCACTTTTTAAAAAAAAAAATCTTGTCCCCCGTGTCTTTTTATTAAATCTTTCTTCTCTTGCCTTAAAATATGCCCCCAGTGTTGAAATCCCCTACTCTAGGGAATAGGCGCCTGCCGTTGACCTTACCTGTACCCCTCATTGTTTTATAAACCTCTATAAGGTCATCTCTCAACCTCCTACGTTCTAGTGAAAAAATCCCAGCCTATCCAGCCTCTCCTTATAACTCAAACCCTCCAATCCTGGCAACATCCTGGTAGATCTCTTCTGAACCCTCTCCAGCTTAATAATATCCTTCCTATAACGGGAAGATCATAACTGGACACAGTAGTCCAGAAGAAGCCTCACCACTAACACGTACAACCTCAACATAATGTCCCAACTTGCATACTCCAATAGGTCTGAGAATGAAGGAAAGCATGCTAAATGCTACCTTAACTGCCCTATCCATATATGGTGCAAACTTCAAAGAATTATGTACCTGAACCCCAGGTGTGTCTGTTCTGCAACATTGCCCAAAGCTCTACCTTTAATTGAATAAGTCTTGTCTTTGTTTTACCAAAATGGAACACCTTGCATTTAATCAAATTAAACTCCATTTGCTGCTCTTCAGCCTACCAATCTTTGTGTTATCTGCAAATTTAGTAGCCATACTTTCTATATCTTCATCTAAATCATTTATGTAAATGATGAACAAAAGTGAACCCAACACCGAACCTTGTGGAACACAGTTGGTCGCAAGCCTCCTGTCTGAAAAATAATCCTCCACCATCACTCTGTTTCCTGTCATTAAGCCAATTTTGTGTCCAATTGGCAAGCCCACCCTGAAGCTCATGTGATTTAACTTTACTAATGAGTTCACCTTGTGTAATCTTGTCAAAAGCTTTACTAAAGTCCAAGTAAACAATGTCTACTGCTCTGCCGTCATCGATCTTCGTAGCTACTTCCTCAAAAAAACTCAATCAAATTTGTGAGACATGATTTCCCTTGCACGAAACCATGCTGACTATCCCTAGTCATTCCTTGCTTCTTTCAAATGCATATAAATCCTATCTTTCAGAATCACTTCCAACAACTTACCCACCACTGAAGTTAATTCCCAGTCTTCTCCTTGCTTCCCTTCTTATACAAAGGCACAACATTAGCCACTCGAGTTATTTGGCACGTCACCTGTTTTTATAGATAATATAGATATTGCAGCAAGAGGCCCTGCAATTTCCTTCCTAACTTCCCACAGCATCCTGGGATATATTAGATTATCTCTGATGCTACTTGGCCTGCTGTGTTCATCCAGCTGTACACCTTGTTATCTCAGATTCTCCAGCAGTGGCAGTTTCTACTATCTCTATATATTAGATCAGGTCCCGGAGATTTACGTTTACACCCTTATGTTTTCTACGACCTCCAACACTCTCTTCTGTAATATGAACTGTTTTCAGAACATTAGTATTAATTTCCCTGAGTTCTCTAGCCTCCATTTCTTTCCCCACCGTAAAAACTTAGGTGAAATATTTATTTAATATCTCTTGCATCTCCTGAGGGTTTAACACAAAGTGACCTTTTTGATCTTTAAGGGGTCCTACTCTCTTTGGCTGTTAAAGTACTTATAGAATCTCTTTAGATTATCCTTATTTGCCAAGGCTGTCTCATACACTGTTTTTGTCTTCCTGATCTCCCTCTTAAGAGATGCTAAGAGGCAACACCGGACTAAGTTAGAGACCCAAACGAACCACATGGACACCTGCAGTCTGTGACAAGGCCTACGCAACATAATGGGCTACAAAATGAAGCAGAACAGAATCATGGACAAAAATACATCCCTCCCCGATGTCCACACTGCTTATTAAGCTCACAGAAAGTCAGGAAAACAGTTCATCTACCCCAACAGTATCTGTTGCGCCTGTTTCCTCAGTCACTGCTGCAGACGTCAGATCAACCTTCTTAAGAGTGAACCCGTGGAAAGCGACTGGCCTAGATGGAGGCCCTGGCCATGTGGTCGGATCCGTTGCAGGCCAGCTGGTGGGAGTATTCGCTGACATCTTTAACCTCTCCTTGCTACGAGCTGAAGTCCCCACCTGCTTCAAGAAGACCACTATCATCTCTGTACCAAAGAAAACACGTGCAACGTGCCTCAATGACTACTGCCCGATGGTTCTGACCTCCATAATTCTGAAGTGTTTTGAGAGGTTAGTCATGGTTCACTCCACTTTAGCCTCCCAGCCTGCCCCAACCCCTTGCAATTTGCCTATCTGTGGTACAGGTCCACAGCAGATGTTGTTTCCCTAGGCCTGCATTCATCCCTGCATGTCTGGATAATAAAGATATCAATGCTAGGCTTCTACTTATTGACTACAGCTTCACCTTGAACACTATAATCCCAACCAAACCTAATCTCCAAACTCTGAGACCTATGTCTCTGCTCTGTCCTCTGCAACTGGATCCTCGACTTTCTGACCCACAGACCGCATTCTGTGAAGATAGGCAACACCACCTCCTCCACGACAGTTCTCAACACCAGCACCCCAGAAGGATACGTTCAGTCCCCCAGTGTACTCGCTGTACGCTCATGACTGTGTGACCAAATTTTGCCCAAACTCCATCTGCAGGTTTGCTGCCAACATCACTGCTATAGGCTGGATATCAAACAATGATGAGACAGAATAAGGGAAGGAGAGTGCTTAATGACGTGGTGCAAAGATAACAATCTCTCCCTCAATGTCAGCAAAACTAAAGAGCTGATCATCGACTTCAGGAGGCAAGGGCGAGGAACACTCCTAACTGCATCAATTGAGCTGAGACGGAGTTGGTTGAGATGTCAAGTTCCTGAGAGTGGCGATAACCAACAATCTATCCTGGATCACTTACGTTGATGTGACAGTCAAGAAGGTACAACAATGTTGCTTCTTCCTCAGGAGGCTAAGGAAATTCGGCATGTCCATAAGGGCCCTCGCCACGTTTATAGATGAACCGTAGAAAGCATTATATCTGGATACATTGTGGCTTGGTACAACTGATCTGCCCATTACTGTAAGAAACCACTGAAAGTTGTGAGCACAGCCCAGACCATCATGCAAGCCAACTTTCCATCCTTTGACTCCATCTACACTTCTTGTTGCCACAGAAAAGCAGCCAACATCATCAAAGACCCCTCCCACTCCAGTTATAATCTCTTCCAACCTTTTCTGCAGATAGAAGATACAAAAGCTTAAATACATGTGCCAACAGGTTCAAAAACAGCTTGTTCCCTGGTGTTATTAGACTTCTGAATGGAACTTTCAAGTTTCAAATCTAATGTTGATCTTGCTTTTTATGTACCTTCTTTGCAGTCGTAACTTTTCTATTTCTTGTTCTGTTCAATCATCCTATGATCTTCGTATGTTAAGATTTGCCTGTACCACACAAAACAAAAATTTCACTGTACTTAGGTATGTGACAATATTAAATCAAATAAAGAATGCCCCTCTGCTCTTTTCTACTGCTCAAGTGATTCATTTGAACCCAGTTGTTTATATCTAATATACGATTCTATTTTTATTCTTGACTTGAACCTCAAAATCATTATTCATCCATGTTCTCTAATCTTGCCAGCTTTGCCTTTTTAACAGGCATATAATGATTCTGAACTCTTGTTATCATGCCTTTGAAAGTCTTCCACTTAGCAGATGTTCCTTTATGTGCCAACAGTCTACTCCAATCCGTTTTTGAAAGTTCTTGCCTCATGCTGTTTAAAATTTGCCTTACTCCAATTAAAATCTTTAATTTTTATGGAAAGCTTATCCTTTGCCATGACTGTTTTAAGGTAAATAAAGTTATGATCACTAGACCCAAAGTGTTCTCTCGCTATCACTTCAGTCACTGGCCCTGTCTTATTACCCAAGAGAAGATCAAGTTTTTCTCCTCTAGTTGGAGCATTTACATATTCAAGAAAATTTTCTTGAACGCATTTAACAAATTCTTCACCATCCAAACCTTGAACACTGTGGTAGTCCCAGTCAATGTTTGGAAAATTAAAATCACCTACTATTACAACCTTTATTCTCACATATATCTGAGACCTCTACATATTTGTTCTGCAGTTTCCCTCCAACTATTGTCTGGTCTATACTATAATCCTATCAAGGTGATCAGTCCCTTTTTATTTCTAATTTCAACCCATATATTTTCACTGGATGATTTTTCAGAAGTGTCGTGCTAGCTACAGCATTAATGTTTCCCTTCATCAAAAATACCACTCTCCCTCCTCTTTTGCCTCTTTTTCTTCCTAAAGCATCTGAAACGCAGAACATTGAGCAGCCAGTCCTATCCATCTCTCAGCCAAGTTTCTTGTAATAGCTATGATATCTATGAGTTCATCAACCTTACCTGTAAGACCCCTTGCATTGAAATAAATGAGATTAATTCCTCAGAGTTACTTTGTTCTCTGATTTGCTGTTGTCTGTGTTTTCTAATTAATTTGTGCTTTTCCGATTCATCTGTCTTTCTATTTACTCTACTGCTTAGGATCCCTCCACTCCCTCTCTCTAACAGTTTACAGCCTCCCTTAATAGATTTAGCAAATCCTCCTGCAAGGATATTAGTCCCTTTCCTTGGAGCAGAGGAGGCTGAGTAGTGGGGGGTTGGGGGTATTTGGGGTTGGGGCTGGAGGTTGGGTGGGTGGTGGTGGTTATTTCATAATAGGATAGATTGAGAGACTCTTCCCAATGGCAGATGTGTATAAGACCAGAAGGTGGTGGAGACAGGTGCTGTTACAACATTGAAGAAGCATCTGGTTGAGCACTTTAAATGATGTGGCATGGTAGGCTATGGACTAAGTGTAGGTAAATGGAATTAGTGTAGTTTGATATTTGTTGGTTGCATAAACATGGTGGTCCACACGGCCTGTTACTCTACTGTGTGATTATAGGACTGTATAAATCGTGTTTGACCAATTTGATTTAATTGTTTTAGACAACAGAGAAGGTGGAGTGGATGCTGTTCAAATAGGTTGCCTTTTTCTGGATGGTGTCAGTTTTTCTTGTGTAAAACATATTAAAGCTACAATCATTCAGTCAAGTGGGAAATATTTCATCACACACCTGATTTGTGTCTTGTAGCTGGTGGACAGGTTCTGGTGAGTTGGTCACTACAGATTCTGACCTGCTGTGGTAGCTACTATTTATTTGGCTGGTTCAATGAGGTTTCTGGTCAGTTGTAATGCCCAGAATGTTGATGGTCAAGAAATCAGTGTTTGTTTTGTTATTGAATGTCGAGGAGAGATAGTTAATGATCAGCACTTGTGTGGCATGAGTGTTATTTGCTACATAGCAACTTAATCCTGAATGCTGTCCAGATGTTGCTGCCTGTGGGTACTTCATTATTGACAAACTTGCGATAGGAGCTGAACGTTGTGAATCATCTGTGAACAGCCACAGCTGATTTTTCTGACAAAGGATTGGTCTTGATGCAACAGCTGAAGGTTGCGCCTGGGCGCTATTTTGAGGAACTTCTGCAGCAATCTGGGTATATCTTCCTGATGTCTTGTATTGTTCTCCTCGTTGTTTACTCTAATTCCAAGCATTGTCTGCATGCTTGTTGATGCCTGTTGTGTCCATGTTTAGATGGTTAATACACATAAAATGTGTTCCCAATATCCATCACATAAAGTGACATAACAGTGCTTCCCTGCACTTTGAAAAGCAACTAATCACAACAGTCTGGTATCTACCTTTTTTGCCAATTTCATATCCATGTGCAATTGCGGCCTTAATCTCACAAGCTTCAACTTTTCCAATGAGTCTGTTTGTACAGTTTTATCAACGTTTTAAAGTTCATATACACAACATGATCTGTACTGTTTCCACCTCTGCTATTTCATTGCAATACTTAAATCACGCTTTTCAAATACAGTTTGCTTTTAACAAATTCTAGTTTGCAATTGTTTCCTAATCCTTGTTAGGAAATGCTTGAAAGCTGGTATAAATATGGAATTCTAACTCCCAAAGAAGCTGTTGAGGCTGGGTCATAGAGTATTTCAAAACTCAAACTAAGATGGACAGATAAAGGTACAGGATAGTCAGAATCCAATTAAATCGAGGTAGAAGTGACTTGAGGGGCTTGGTAATCAACACCCGTTTCTGAAATCACCATTAGATATGGCAAGAATGTTGATTGACAAAACAGGAAAATCAAGACTAAGTCAATGTGACTATTTTCCCTCATCCATGCACCATAGAGACATAAATTTGCCATAACAATTTTAGCCTCCAGTACAATTAGATGTTCTGATATGCAAGGAAGTATTGTTGCAAGTACACAAGGCATTAGTGAGATCACACCTGGAGTATTGTCTACAGTTTTGGCCCTTTACTTGAAGGGGATGTAGTTATGTTGGAGGCAGTTCAGGGGAGGTTCAGTAGAATGATCCCAGAAATGAAGAGTTTGTCATATGAAGAAAGATTGAGCTGTTTAGGCCCTTTTCTCTGTGAAGTTTAGAATGATAACAGGAGGTCTAATTGCTAATGGGGATTAATGAAGTAGGTGTAGAAAGGATGTTTCGTCATGTGGGGCAATCTGTTATAGAGGTTAGAGCTAACAACGTGTAGAGCTGGATGAACACAGCAGGCCAAGCAACATCAGAGGAGC